CTTTTTACAAGTAGGCTTGAACTTTGTGCAGTCACTTAATATTTGCGGCTTTGAACTGCACAAGAAAGAGAGCTGAAGCTTAAAAGATGTGGGAGAGATTACAGGCAGGGTCAAAGAGAGTGTGGGGGAGAGATTACAGGCAGGGTCAAAGAGAGTGTGGGGGAGAGATTGCAGGCAGGCAGACTGGAGAGTGTGGAGAGATTGCAGTGCGCCGAAGAGAGTGCTGGAGAGCTTACACAGTGCCAAAGACAGTGGGTGAGAAAGAGACAGAGAGAGAGAGAGAGGGACAAAGAGAGCGCGCTGGCTGATTTGAAGAATTGCGCCAGCGGCAGACATTTTAATGTGCGGCTTGAGCTTGAGATTTTTGCCGTTGTTGTTGTTTCTTTTCTTTCTTTTTTTGCGCTTGCTTGTGAAATTTTTCGACTCTTTTTCTTCGAGTGGAATTTTAATGCCTTTGGCACACCTGCGCAGCAGTGTAACGGTAACGGTAACCTTGTTTCTGGGCTAAAAGTTTGAAGATTTTTCACCGAGACAGAACAAAATGCGGCACTGGAATGCACTTTTGCCTAATTAAAATGCACTCAATGAATGCCATGGCATGTCGTGGGAGCGGCGGTCTAAGGTTACTCATAAAACGAGACACGTCGTGCCTTTTGGGACGACAATCACAACAAATCTCTACCTGAAAGGTTGCCCGAGCCCCCTAAAGATGAGCAATGAAAGAAATCCTTTAGCCAGCCACAACTGGAAACCCATCAGCAAAGAGCCATCAGGCAACAGCAACAATATCATGTTTTTAATGGCCGATGACTCAACCACAGCCACAGAGCACAGAGCACAGAGCTCATGGGAGAAGGCAAAAGAAGACAAAGATGAAGAAATGAAATGAAATGAAATAAAATAAAGAAACAAACGAGGGAGAGAGACACACACAGACACACAGACACACGCACACACCTGTGAGGAGAGCTCAGTGCACACCTGAGAAACAAGAAATGCATGCAGGTGTCAATCGCCAGCGAAAGAATGGTCAGAAGTAGCAACAACAACAACAACAACAACGACAACAGAGGCAGCGCATCAGCAGCAGCGGTGGTGGTGGTGGTGGTGGAAAACCGAACTCAAGATCTCTGCCTATCTGCCTGTGGCCGCTCTGCCCGGACCCCCGGCACAGCGCACACACACACACACATACTGATCGCTTGGTTTGCGTGGTTGGGGGAGAAATGGTTAATCATTTAGGTATAAATCTCGATGTAGCGTCTTTGTCCGACATTGCCCGTTGGGGGCCAAACCAGCACTTGTGTGCACCCATTAACCCATTAACGTCCTTGTCACACTTTTACACTAGTGATGTAAGCAGCACAGAGGCTGAAGTTTGAGGCAGAAAAATGTTGTGCTAAAAATATGAAAATATGAAATTTGTGGCTTCTATGTACATAATCCATAATCTAAAATTTTCTCTCTTTTATCTTCCTCATTTTGTCACTTGCCTGCGCAACGTTAAAGGGTTAACCACGGACGCCGACGCAACCAACACACACACACACACACACACAGCTAGACGCAGCCACAAAGAGGTAGAGCTGGAGCTAGAAAGAGAGAGGGAGAGGGAGAGGTAGGGGGAGCTTCAAGAATTCGTAGAATTGTGAGCCTCAATTGATTTACTCAGCTGTGCGGCGGCTGCTCTTCGGTTGCCGCTTGATAACTCTGAGATTTGTTATATTTGCTTCATCATCGTGGCACAAACGAGGCAGTTGGAGATCCCAGATGGAGGCCAGGCCATGCCAAGGAACGATCTTCATCATCTCCATCTCCATCTCCAGCTCCATCGTCGACGCCGCACACATGTGCGCACATTAAAAAGCAAGTTTCTCAGGTGTTTAAAAGCGTTTAAAAAGAAAACAGACGCAGACGGCTGGCTCGACTCCGCACAGCCACAGCTACAGCCACAGACCGAGTCGAAGATCTCAACGAGACAACAATAAACGCAACGCAACGCAACGCAGCGCAACCCGAGACACAGACGTTGTAGAGTTAAAAATATCCAAAGAGTACTTCGTACTGTGCCAAGAGCCAGTTAAAGCCATGATCATGATCTCGAAGCGCTGCGGACAGCGGACGGTACGGACAGCTGGCTGGGGCCACGAGCACACGTGAAGGTTGCCACAGCCATGTTGGAGATTTACTTAACGAAATCAAGAGGAAGCGCGCGCGTAGCATCGATCGAGGATGGTGGAGTTGGGGAGGTGGCTGGAGGTGGGCTGTTAACCTAGCTGTCATACAGCATTGATTGCTGCGAGGCAATGGCAAATACAATACAAAAAAAAAGCCCCACAGACTTGCGCTTGATTGCCGGCGGTTGAGTTCGGGCTTGGGGTCGGGCTTTGGGTTTCGGGTTTTGGGTTTGGGTCTGGGTCGGGGGTGTACTGGACCACGTAGCCAGTGAGTCAGCATCTATGCATTCCCTTGCTTTGTTGGTGTTAACGATGCATCCATCTGGTGGCTGCCTTTGAGCTTCAGCCAAAATGTTAAGTGCATGTTTTGATTGGTTTGTGGCGGCCCCAAAACGGATCGAGATTATGGCCGATGAATGGGAGCCAACTCCAGCGACAGGCAGCAGGAGTAGGAGTAGGTCCAACCTCACGATCTCATCTTTGGCAGCGAGGATAATGTGCAATCTTATGTGCATAATCTGCTTAAGAGGTGTCACAGGCATTTATTATGCACGCTGCTCATGTCAGACACAAAGGCCATATTAATGATGAGGAACCAAAAGGTTCCCTCGGATCTAATGGAATGTGTGGCCTGTGGCTTATCGCTCCTTAAGTGTTTGAGCCATAAAAAGCAGCAACAGCCAGACAGAGTGTCAAAGATCTGCGCATTTTGGGTGCCTGAAAATGCAACTCCTTTGGCTTTGCCTTGGCTGGCATTCCGGTCCACATGTGGCATGACCATAGCCAATTGGCTGGCCAAAAGTTTGTCTCAATCCAATGCTCTGCCACAATCAAGTGAACATCTGCAACATCCGCAGGCGGCTTGCACCTGTTGGCCATATGCAAAAACTAGGCAGACAAAAAGGTGTTAGAAAGGTGTTTTAGTGGGAAACCCTTTCGGGCTGGAAGATGAATTAAGCGAAATTCTGGAAATTCCGCAACATGTTAACGGTTCTTGAGGATGCGGCAACGGCCACAGTGGACAATGGCTAGAACAACAACAAGAAGAGCCAACAGCAAACACGCATTAACAATGGGCTGCCAGATTTAGCACCTGTGTGCCAGAATGCACTTGGAAAATCTCTACAAATATTTGACGTGACGTGAGTGAAATTTGCATTTTGGCCCGGGAGTGTAGCGGCAAAAGAACAAAAGCCCGGCAACAGGTAAATGCACTTCTTGCGGCTGTCCCCGGTGCCGAGCATCATTAACACGTTCATGCCCGGCTGGGCGGGGATTAGACTGGCCGGGCCAAAAGGTGCGAAAATCCATCAGCGTACGGTGGTTCCGTTCCACTGTAGTTGAAAGTCTGGCCATGAATCGCTTGGAAGTTTACAAGAATATTTTGGAATGTTATGCAGCTGAACTGGGGGATTGGAGCCAGTGGAATGTATTGGATTGGCCATGGGCACGTTCGAGTGACAAATGTCAATTTGCATTCGAATTGGCAAATGTTCTTTTGGCTGCTGTTGCCGTTAATTGCGCGCGCTCGCGCTCTCCACCCTCTCCACCATCTCTCTCTCTCTCGCACTCAATCGCTCTCCCATTCCAATCTTCGACGTTTTCCAATCACTGGAAACGGCAACGAACGTTCAAGCTCAAGAACACACCTTAAACTTTGGGTTTGCTTGGTTTGCTCTTTGTTTTTCTTTTTGGAGCGCTCTACAGCTGGTTGCTGTTGCTAGAATTCATGAGGCAGGCCGAAGACCTGCCCCTGCCACAACAGCGGCCAGCAGCAACAAGTTCAAACACATGACTCTGACTCCCAAGAGCGGCATGGCCACCACTTCTGCCCCCCGTTTGCCGCTCTCTTCGTTTCTTCGCTTTACTCTACTCTACGAGCGACTCCCAGCTTCAGTTCAATGTCAATTTCGATTCGTCATCCGCAGCTGCGTTGATTTCTCGAGCGACCTCTTCCCCTCTCACTAACCCCTTTCCAGTTTTGTTGCTGCTGCGTTCTTTTTTTATGGCCATGTTAAGTTTGGACTTGGCTTTTAACACACAATCACACCGACACACACACACACACACACACACACACACACGGACTGAAGACGGCAGGACCACCACCGTTGACTCCATCGGATGGGGTTCATTCTACTGTAATTTATTGATGCGGTTCCACAGTTAAAGGCGTACGTCGCGACGGACATGTGTGGGCAGGCAAGCGGCCAGCAGCCAGCGGCGGCAAGATTACGTTCCGCGGATGCATGCCCTTGCTCTGTGCAGCTGGCAAAAGCAAAAACCACTCGAACGCCCACGCAAATGTCACTCTCTTTTTCTCTTCTCTCTGTCTCTGCCTCATCACACGATGGCCGTTCGGTTTACATAAGCACAGCGATAAAGGGCACAAGTGCATTGATCTATGGGGCCAAAAGAATTGCTTTTCTCATTTCATATTTATTTTGCGTGATATTTTTCGTGGTACAGTGATCGCTCAAAAGAACTGAACCTTTCGCTGCCAGAGTCCATTTCGCACGTACAACTGCAAATACAACAGCAATTGGGATTGTATGTGTGCGTATGAATAACTACCGAAAGAGAGGGAATGTCAATGCGTAGGTGGCTGCTATGACACTTCTTACTGTACTTTGCTCTCACAAGAGAGTGCAAGAACAAAGCATAAGCGACGATCAACGCCGACGTCAACGCTTCAGTTAGTTTCATAGAAAATTACGAAACGCAAAATTGAAAGTCAAAGTGTAGGTCAGTTTTTAATACACGACAAGAAACCCATCAAGAAATATGTCTTACAGTTACAAGTATATATTCGCACATACATTCAACATCTAAACCATTTAATCTCTACTTTGTGACCACAGTGCACTGGACAGGCAGGCGCACTCAACCGGTGCGCGCTCTCTTTGTATTTCACTCTCTCTCTCTGTCTCTCTCTCGCTGTCTTGCTGTTTCCCTCTCCCACTATTCGCTGCACTCGCGAATGTTACTGCAATTCCGCCTGGTCCAAGGCCATCTGCTGCTGGTTCAATAACATTTGCGAGGGCTGTGATTCCTCTTGTTGATGTTGCTGCTGCGGTTGTTGCTGTTGGCGTTGCTGCTGCTGAAGCTGCACCGGCGGCTGCTGATGCATCGTCTGCAGCAAGAGCTCTCCCATCTTGGCCCGAAAGAAAACGTTCTGGATGGGCGTCATTTGCTTCATCAGCGGCATAAAGCTGATGAGGTAATTATAGTCCGAGTCACCCACATGCAGCACATTTTTGCAGCGCGCCAGGTCTTGGCTGGTGGACTGCATCAGCTGTTGCTCTTCGCGTTTCAGCCCCTCCAGAAAGTTGACCTGCTCGTCCACGCGCTTGGCACATTGGCAGACGCTGGCCGCCGCCGCTGCCACGGCTGTTCCCATGTTCATGCCCATGCCCAAGCCAAGTCCGTGTCCTAGTCCCTGTCCCAGTCCTTGTCCAAATCCGAAGCCGCTAGTGGACGGGGATGGGGACGCTTGTTGCGGCATGGACCGCTCCTCGGCGGCGGCACTGGCCAGGGATATGCTCTGCGAGAGCCGTCGCAGGGCCTGAGGCGTGGCCATATTCTGGAATTCCTGCATCAGTGCATCGTTGTCCGCCTCCATTTCGTCCGCCGGAATAGTCTCTCTCTTAAACGACATGCCCGAATCCGGGCAATGGTCCGACGCCGCTTCCTTCTTCACATCCCCGTCATCCTCCTCGTTTGTGCTGCTGTCACGGCGCTGCATATTGCCAAGGAAGTCCATTTCCTCGGCATAGGACCACTGATGGACAGGGGAGGGTGCGGCTTGCTGCTTGCTCAGGCTCTGGCGGCGGTTGTGCCGGCGATAGCTGCAGCGTAGATTCTTCCATTTGGCGCGACACAAATCCACTGTTCCAGGGCAAGAAAAAGAGCGTAAACAGCGATGATATAAGCAACCGGCAGGGCAGCGCCAATCAGCTACTCACCATTACAACCCAACACTTCGGCCACGTTGTTCCATAGGCGCTGAGTCTCCAGGCGGTTGGAGTGGTCCGCATGGGAGGAATCCCAGAGAGCCGGCCATTGCCTAACTTCAGCGATCAGCCTGTGCATGTCCATGTTCCTGCGTTTTTAAATACAAACTGTAAAAAATCGACCGGCTGCAGCAACAAAAACCGCGCAGAGAGAACGAACAACTTTTGTGTTACGCTCTCTCAAAATGTCGCTCTCTCGCAAAGCAAAAACTTAAGTGAATTCTCGGTTCGGCGTGCGTGACAATGTGGGCGCTGTTGCCTTTCTTTTGTTTTTTTGTGTGTTTTTGGTGCAGGTAATAAAGAATTGTGGATGTGTTTGTCGAGTGAATGTGTTTTGATTCGGGTAAGTCGTAGAGTAAGTCCTTTTAAACTGTACAATGCAATTTGTGGATGATTCGCCTATTAGAGGGCATTCAATAAGTCGACCTCTATCGGTTGTTTTTTCTTCTCTCTGCTGGAACAATTGCCGTTTATTTGTCTTCCACTGATTTTCGTTCTGTTCTTGAATTTGCTGGACCGTGAAGTTGATTCTTTATCGTTTGTTTAGTGAAGTTTTATAATTAAATTGAATTTGGCAGAGTAAGTGGCTAGTCTAATTTTTGCTATTCATTTAGTGAGAGAACACATGGCAGTGGATTAATCAAGTCAATCTGCCGCTCTTTGCTGGAACAATTTCCAAGTTTGTCTGTTTGTCCGTTTTTGCGCTCATTTGCTTTCTGCTTTCTGCGCTGTTCTCGCGTGTTGGTGTTTTGTTCTCTCCGTTCGTTCTCATCTCCCAGAGACATTGAACTTGCCGGCACAGTGGAGCGGAATGCATAAAACATGCTTGTGGATTGTGGATGGCATATGGGATGGCTCGTAAAGTAATTTCCTATAGCCGGCTATCAGGAGGAACTTCCAAATATTTGCACAGCCGGGCGGCCGGCCACAGGCCATGGAGGAGATTGCAACATGTTGTCCGAATATGGGCAGGCAGCGGTGAGAGCGGTGCAACACATGTTACCAAGCTGGCAGCCGGTTGTCTTTGGCTGCTGCGGTGGCTGGAACGGCGACAACAAGTGGACGTTGAAAATATGCGACAGCAATTATCTCTGGCAACAAGCGGTCCATAGCCATATAGCATATACACACATAGTAGGTATATCCATATGTTGTCGCCTGCTTTGCTCTGCTCGGATTTGCGCACGACTTTCGCTTACCATTCCAGGCCGTTGGTTGTCATTGTTGCTGCTGCTGCGGCTGTTGTCGTCAGTCTGTTGCAGCTGCTGTCAATCTGTTGGCCGGCCGCTGCTGCTGCTGCAAAACAACAAAAATTTCCATGTGTCATTTCAAAAATGCAAATATGGACATGATCTGGTGCTCTGACTTCTGCTCCTGCTCCTTATGTCTGTGCTGTGCTGTGCTGTGCTGTCTGCTCTTCCAACCAAAACTCATCCGACCCGAACCAATCCCATTGCCTCTCTGCATCCTCCACATGTTCCACTCGTCAGGCGATCAAGCAGCCCCAGCTGACAGCCGAGTGACGTCTAAATTTTGTTCAACGAAATGATTATAAAGGCATTTATGCATGCGTAGTCACAGGCCAGACTACCAGTCAGAGTTCCAGCTCCTAGCCATGTCCAAAGCACCAATGAATTCAGATCCCATATCAATGGGATTGTTGTGTTCACTTTAAGGAGGGTATGATTATTTGTACAAGGTGTTTGCAACATTTACTGAAGATTTGTATTAGTTGTGATCAGAATATCTCTATTAAAATGTATATGAAACTTTTTCTCCATTTGCTGAAAGCTCTAGGAAAGTGCATCAAAAGCTTCTACTATCAATTGTCCGACATTCTCCCACTTGTTGCGATTGATTTGTTGCTGCCCAATGTCCCTCCATCCACGTCCCTGTCCTCGTAGTCTGTCAATTGTCAATGTTTGTATTCAAATGTTGCCGTCAGAGTGCTTCGGCTGCATGTTTATTATGCCCAGCAGCGATTTATGAAGGCTTTGTTTACGCCCTAGAACATTAATTTCACAAGCAACAATTTTATTATATTCTGCTCAATATGTGAAGGGAAATCTCTTGAAATATTACTGTGAATTGCTCGCCACAAATAAATTAAAAAAACTATCACAAGTGATTATGTTGTAACTTAAATTCTAACGCCCCATAAATGGCAAATGCAATTGCTGTTGACGGCATTAAAACGTTGCCCATAAAATGTTGCTGTCGTCGTTTGCTGTTTGCTGTTGGCTGTTGGCTGCTGGCTGTCGTTGTTGTTGCTGCTGCTGCTGCTGTTGATTGTTATAACAAATTTGCATAATTATGCCGCTTATCTTGGCCATATGTCTGGGCAATAGAGCCCCGACAGACAGTTGGACGTTGGAGCTGGCTAAAACTTGTGGATGTCTGCAACACGCGCCGGCAATCGACAGACACAAGTACGAGTCGTAGTTGCCACTGCAACACCCACATGGCGCTGTCTGGCATTGTTACAGCAAGCGGATGCCACCGAAAACCGTGCGGCAGTGTTAATTGCTGTTTGCTGTGGCAGTTGCAGTTTGTGGCAGCAACATCATAAATTACCAGCCAAGAGACTTAGCAAAAAAAAAGAAGCTAAAAACAGTTAGATGACATTGACGCACTGCGAATCATAAAAACTGACAACAAATTGATTGCCAATCAGCAACATGAACACGACAGCAGCAGCAACAGGCAGCAGCAGCAAGAGCAACATCCAGTGGCTAGACTCAGTGTTGCTGCAGCTTCTGCAACAATTGCAGGTGTCAATGAATGTTGCAAATAAGGAAAAGCGCGACAAGCGTTGCAGGAGGGAGAGAGAGCTTAAGAGAGAGAGAGAGAGAGCAGAAAAAAAGCTAATTGACCAATGCCAATTGCTGCTAATGTGGCCAGTTATTATGTCAAACGGTCAGCGGCAGCAATTCAGGCACTGAGCCTGCTCTTGGCCTAATTGAATTGGCCGGACAAGCTGGGCAATTGTCACGCAGCTGCCAACTGCTGCGTTACGGTTTTGGCAGCCCACACGCCACCGTTGGTTGGACTCTCGCTCCACTACCGCAGATGTCCATGGAGAGGCGCGCACATGGAAAAATTCCAATAGCAATTAAAAATATTTCCAACGCAAATGCAGACCAAGACCAGAGACACTGAGAGAAATGGCAGAGCGGGCAGCAAAAAGGAGAGCTTCAATGGGGTTGAGCTTTCTCCCTGTGCATTTCTGGTACAGATTTCACCTTGTCCCCGGTCTGTGGATCGATCCAGTTCGCGTCCAGCGTCCTCTTGTGTGTGGAGTGGATCAGGCACCATCTTTGGCAGCTGCGTTGGCCGTTAGAAATGCTAATGAAAGTCAGGCACTGCGTCTGCTCTGTCCATCGGCATTGGCAGCTGCCTGCGACTCTGTGGTGCGTTTGATTGCAGCAAGGGGCACGGCCAGGCATCATAGAAAGTTGCACGGCTGCTACCGTTTTTGGTGGTCACAGCCATAGGAATGGAATGGAACAGCTGCCTCGGGGATTGCTCTGGCTCTGTCTCCAATTCCCGATGCTGCTGCTGCTGCTGCTGATCGCGGAAATTCTGCACACGTGTCGATCATTCAAGTTTTTATGAGTGCGCTTCCTGCTGCTACGCTTGTTCGTGGCAAGGACGTTTGTTTGCCTGCCGCTGCCCCGCGCAACCCCCTTTTATGCGGCCATATGCTGCTGATGTTGCACACATGCAATGCAGCCGGCGGCTGTAGCATCATCCAGAGTGTGGCAACCAGTTCGCTTGACGTCCATTTTATGGCATGCAGCCGCCTCGCTGTATGATGAAGAGCAGCACATGGCCACCACCGCCTTCTTCTCCTCACATTTTAACCCCAAGAAATCTCAATGAGATCGCCAACTGGCAGCGGGCAACGGGCAACGGGCACGGTCACGTATGGCACCAATGGCATGGACATGTGCGCGGAATGCCTCAAGCAGCTGTGGCATATCTCTCTCTATCTATCTCCCGAACAGAAAGTTTTTGCAGCTGATAGGAGAGAAACCCGAAGCAGAACCCGCATCGCGCGAGGAAAGATTTATGTGGGCATTGAGGGATTTTTGGCTGAGATTTTCCCAATAGTCTTTCGGGCTGACTGGGGAGTTTCCATGGGAAATCAAATATGAAATGTGACTTATTTTTGACAACATATCTGGAAGATCTTGTGGTTAGGGCCACATTTCTGCTGTTATTATTTGACTCTTAATTTGGTTTATTTGCCAGTGAAAATCCACTCAAAATACATAATTAACTGTCGAGGGTTCTGCCAAATTATAGAACCCTTGAGTGGCCCTCGGCTTATGGTTAAGACATCATCAGGCTTCACGCTCTGGAAGCCACTTATCAGCAGCAGAGTCATCTTGGCTCTTTTTTCCTTGCTTAAGCCGAGCTCAGGAAGCCATTTGGACGGGGGTGCGGGGTACATGTCCATCCATCATGCCAAACATATGACAGGGCCAACAGCAGGGCCAACAGCAGCAGTAGTCGGGGAAAAATGCCGGCAATTAGCAAACTGGCGACAAATTGACGAGGCCGAAACGCACACAAAAACCGAAAAACAGACACTGGAATCCGGGAATCTGGAATCTCTCGGGAACGAACCGGGAACGGCCACCTGCAGAGATTTTGTGCGAAAAAAGGGCGAAAGAGAGAGAGAGAGAGAGAGTGTGAGTGGTGGGGAGGAGGTGCAGTGTGTTGTGACGCAGAGGAGCGCATTGTGGCAATAATATTTGTGCATCGACTGGCTGGCTACCTGTGGCAAAGTGTCAGTGCATCGCGTCTGTGGCATGGGCCTACTAATTAAGTTGCACCAAGCAAATGACTCATTTTGGCAACACAACACTCGAAAGGGTCCTCTGTCGCTGTCGCTGTCGCTGTCCCTGCCAAAGCCATTAGCACCGTCTAGACGGGGTCCGGGCGCCGTTTTCTATTTGCTAATGTAAGAAATGGTGCACCAGGCTAGAGATGGTTCGCAGTTTCTCATTTTAGCGTAAAGTGAGATTTTAGTTCTTCGATAAGGCATTTTATTTCGTTTAGTTAAAGGTTCTTAATTGCGCAGCTGGCAAAATGCACTCAAATTATATCAGACGAAAGCAATAAATGCTCAAAAGTCATTTTTAACTGTTTCTTGCAAAAGCACGCTCAGCATTGGAAGCCTCTCTCTCTCTCACCACAGTTTGACAGTCAGACTCTCTCTCACTCTCTCTCTCTCTCAGCACGTCATTTGATGTGCAAGCTCAATGCTCGATTTCGAACAGCACTTTCCATCTCCCTCTCTCCCACTCTCACTTCCACATTGCTGTTCTTCTCCATAGGCAAATGACAACAAAAGCTTGCTCAGCATGTAGGCAGCGATCTCTGCCACTCAGCTCAGCTTAAACGAATTAATCATGCCGCCCGCTCTCACAATCAGCTGTACCCGCCCGCTTAAGTAGCCAATGCAGGCGCTCATCATTTTCTCATCAATTTGTTCCCGTTGCTCTCATTAACTATTTATTCAAAACGAAATGAATGCAATGTAGATGCCCAGCGCCGCTCTCTTTATCAGCTGTTCCCAATTAACACGCCAGCGGCAGCGCCAGAACCGTATGCAGCGCAGCCAAAACAGCAGGCAAAGGTACAGCCAGAGAGGGGAGGGCGCTGAGTGTGAGTGTGTAAAAAAGCCCGGTGTGGACAAACGGTAAAATGCAATACAAATAACGGCAGCCGGCTGAAGTTCGTCCCGCAGATGCATACTGCCGCAGTCCATCCCCTCCCTTGACGACGTTTTTCCACTCAATTAGGGTAGCAAAAGTACACATACGGTACCGGTACCGTTTTTAGCGAGAGAGAGAGAGAGTGAAGGGACATTTGCCTATAAACATAATTCCCAGACCAGATCGATGGAGAAACGGGAACGGGAATTGTTGTTGTGCTGCAGCCATACATATGTACAACATTTGTGTGTCGACGGCGTGCGGCGGCGCAGTTGTTATCCTTGTGTTTTTGCGGCAGCCGTCTGGATCTCGCTCTGCCAGAGTCGCGCATTGTTAATCGTATCCTGCGTAATAGCATAATAATCCCTAATCGCATCTGATCTGTTCACCTGGCTGGCGCACAAAACACACTCTGCCGCGCCGCGCCTCTCCTCTCTCTCTGGCTCTCTGCCGGCTGCACACAATCCGCATTTTGGCTTCCATCGAATGATCCTTTGTGTGCGTCCTTTGTCGCCGAGTGTCCTTTTTTGTTCCCACTGTAGTGTAAACGCAGGGCTGGGGTTATTTTGACAGAAGTTCATTTGCCTTCTGCTGCTGTTTTCTCGCTTTGACATTTGTCAGCGTCGCATTCGGGGCTTCGCCTTCGAATTCGTTCCTCCACCTCCTTGTGAGTGGTTCGGTTCGGTTTCAATGTTTCGACTTTTATTCGGCTTCCATTTGCTCCTTTGTGGCACGGCGCTTGACTAATAGACATTTACATTGCGGGACATTAACTGCTCTTTAGTCGGACAACCCATTAATATATCTTCCTGGCTGTCTGATTGCAACGAATGAAAAATGAGAGAAATAAATGATTTTCGAATGGGTTTTGTAATGAATTACTGATTAAATGAGTGTGCCTTGAGGATGTTTATTTATGGGGAATCCTTAAGATAGAGACACGATTAATGTGGCTTAACCCTTGACCAGCTTGTTCTTAGAAAGATACGCCAGCCAACCGTATCGCAACTCTGTTTATAGATATCGTAGCCTTTGCCAGTAGATCTTAAGTGAAAGTTTAGATCGTTGCACACCAATTTAATAAGTAATCTCCCATAATCCCATTGCATGCTGATTTCATACACAATGGAATTGCCTTATCCCACACTTCAGTCAATATGTAATCCACTTATTCCTCATTTGTGGACCTTGTTGCCATTGTGTGTGCGTACTGTACCCAAATCGCCTTCAATTACATATGCCACATGGGTGGCTTCTATACTGAGGAGGTCCCCAGTTTTGTGCTGACATTGCGCATACCAATTCGATCACAACCCTTGGGTAAACACACAACAGCGAAAAAAAAATCATTTCTGTTTCAGTTCCCATTCCCACGCAATTCCGTTTATTGTTTTCAGCCAGAGAGGGAGCGGCAAGAGAGAGAGGCAGAGAGAGAGCGCGCGAGGAGGCGGGCACAGAATATAAACAAAAGCTCAGCCGATCAGCGACGCCTCAATGAAGCGTTTTTTTTTTCTGCTTTACTCGTCTGTTTTTTTTTCGCAATGGAATTAGTATTCAGTTACCGTACACAGCAACAAAAAAAAGCATCCAGGGACATGGACAGCGGCCGGATGCGGCTACAGCAAAGACCGATCCGATCCGATCCGAAGCGATGAATGGATGGCAATCTGCAATCATCATCTGCAGCCATATGCAAAATATGTTTATAAATAAACTAGCAAAAGGCAAAAACGGTTCCGAATTCCGTTGCGAAATTCATTAATGGGAATGTCACCAGGCCAGGCCAGAGAGAGAGAGAGAGATTGACAGGGCGGAGAGCAGCCCTTTAATGGCTGCCTAACTAGATATGTCTACAGATCCACTTGGATCGGCAGTGGATACTTCGCAGCGGGATGAGTGACGGGACGTGTATTGGATTTCAGCATGCCATGCACGCGGCTTGCGGCATGCGGCTGCATATCTGCAACGCCATCTCCACAAGTACCTCGGGCTTCCCGCGCGCGTCTCTTCTGCAGCGCTGATTGACATGTGATCCTCATACCCCATACCCATACCCATACCCATTTCCATCTCCATTCTCGAGCTCATTGCATCCTCTCAACAAAGTTTCTATGGCTTGCAAATCTTCACCTTGCACGCTGGACATACCCTGCAAGAGGGTACTCCTGCTGGTGGCATTATTTTAACCCAATGTTTTGTGTAACAGAAAGGAAGCTGCAGCAGTAATTGCCATAATTTTTGTCTGCAAATTTATTATTTTAATATATTTTTGCTACATCAGCTTATACCTTACCACAAACCTCTCATAACTTACAAAAATCCCTCTTCCAGGGTATCTACACGTTCGCTTCTCACTCCCAGCTCTTGCTCTTGCTCTTGCTCTTGCTGTTTGCCTTTTTCTTTCATTTGCCCCTCTTTAACCTGTTGCTGGCTCGTTCTTCTCTGGGTCCGTCGCTCTGCTCATTTGTCATTCAGGCGAAACACTCCACGAGTCGTAAAGTAAGCTTCGGTTCCAGTCTCCTGCCAAGGCAAATAATCTCAGAAAGTCATAAAATTATGATCGGTATTTCTTCGTTTTTTTTTTCTCTTTTGTTTTTTTGTATGCTGTTCTCTGGGAAATTTGAACTCTGTTGGTTTTTTGCCAGCATTTTTTAATTATATTTTGGTTACGGAACATGCATTTCTGTTGTATTTCATGCAACACCTTGTGGGGACAACGAAAATTCCAAGGAATTACGCGAAGAGACATGGGAGCCTCGAGAGAGAGAGGGAGAGAGACCACAAACAATACAAACATAAGAAACCCAAGAGTTCATTCATTTTTCTGCTCCAATCCAATCGAAAGCGAACGCCAGACTCAGCCAGAGACGTGTCATTTTTCACAAACAACGAAACGAACGCCTCAATGAACATTTTCACAATTTCCTCAATGGTCTCGGGTTGGGAGTGAGCTAAGAGCCCCACATGTAATACGATCGTGATCTCTTTGGCATTGCCCACCAGAAACCCCGCAACGACATCGGGAGAAAAGTCAGGCAGGGCGCCGACGCCACACACTGAAGCACTTGAGAGCAGAGCCGTTCAAGATACCATAAACCAAAATTTAGATAAGAGAGGGAGAAACAAAGATAGCGCAAAAGTCGGGGGCTACTCTTTAAATGCTGACAATTATGAAACGGATTACGGACTTTCTCTTGACGGAGAATTCATATTTTCGATAGATTTTCGGTATGAACACCAAATGTGTTGCCCGAGATGCAGGTGTTCAAACAAAATGAAAGATGAACGAACATATGGGCTATATATATAGTTTTGGGTTTGGGGATTGGGATTGCTGATAAAGAAAAAGCCAAAGAAAAGGTTTGTCCAGATGGTATGATAAACAACACCACGTATCAAGCACTACACACTCCACCAGCCGCAGTTAATTTGGCAATAAATAAATGATATATTCATAAACTAATTAATCAATCTCTCAGTTGTTGCCAACACTTCCTTCCCACCCCCTTGAGCATATCTCTATTTCGTTTTTTTAAAAACCTTTTGCCACCACAGAAACCACTTTTCATTCATTTTCATTCCCATTCACGAAAAAAAAACATGAGAAAAGCAAACAAGACGAGAGAGGGAGAAACAGAAGAAACACTAAAACTGAGAGCGTTCGTATTTTGACGAGCTAGAGAGCTAATAAATGCAGCCGACCAATCGCAGGCCAGTTACCCCTCGGCAAAAACTGTACAAACACGAGCATCTTGTAGAGAATGCTCTTGTGCGTGTAGAGTTTGTGGATGCTAGTGGAGAGCGTGTACTGAAGCTGGCTTCCACAGTGCTAAGATTTTTATGGACTGTGGTGAGTGGAAGCTGTTGTGAAGGGGAAGTTTGAAAAGAAGTGTCTGAAGCTGGAAGTTGTTTAAGGCGAGGTTGATCTGCCAGTGGATGGTGTGGAGAGACACTTTTAAGCTGTGGATGATGACTGCAAGTGGATGCTGGTGGAATATCTTTCAAACGAAAGGCTTCCTTATATGTGCATTCTAATAAAACAATATAAATACTCCAATAAAATACAACATACCTCGAAATTCTAGAATAAATTGAATTCCACAGCCCCTACAATATTTCAACAAGAAGCAAATCTCGGCAAGGAATTATTTTGTAGATATATCAACACTCCAGAATATACTCTCCACCCAACATCACTCTACAAAACCCTTTCGGTCTACACACTTCCCCGCCTGACAAAATGCCGATCCAATGCAACTCATCCACCATTTCAATATACAGTCCAGTGTTCTCTCACAATATTACCCCTCGCTGTGCACGCTCTCCACAGCGTAATCGGTGTACTTGTATCAACTCTCCACTGCAGCTGTTCCCGCTCTCTCGTGTTCGTAGCCGACGAAACTCCGCCTCTCGTGCGCGCGCTCGGCAAGTATGAAAAGGCGCGCAGCGAGCTCATTCGGTTCAAAAGAGAGGATTTCCCAGACACAGGAGAGGATTTCCCAGACCATTTAGCAGAGGAGAGTATTTCCCTGGTTGATAAGCAAAAACAGAGAAAACGAAGCAAGTATAAAAAGGCACGCACATCGCTCATTCGGTTCAAAAAATTCAACAAATTCAAAAGCTCACAAAACAGAAAACAGAAAAAGAAAACGAAGCAGCAAGAGAAGTAGAGGAATAAATTGACTTGTGATTTTGAAAATTCAAATTGATTTTGACAAGTCATCGAATACGCATAAAGCAACTAAACACGCTGGATTAAAGTGTTTTTTTGTTGGCCGTACGGAAAAGTGCAAAAAGAGAATAAAAGTGAAGTTTCGTGCAAAAGTACCAAAAAAACAAACACGCAACAAAACTCGCAAGAAAAAAACCAAAAACGTAAATCCCAACTTGTCCAACCTCGCCCGTAACCGGTACGACCGTGTTAAATCCGCCAAAATTCTACTCAAGGAGCGTAAAGCAATCATCTCCAGAATGAAGTCCCTGACGGCCGTCTGTCAAACAGGTGCCTCCGGCATGCCGGGCATCAGCCCCAATGGACGCATTGCGCGCCACCCGCCGCACCGGGGCGACGGCGAGAACGCTGAAATGAAGATGTATCTCTCCAAGCTGAAGGATCTGGTGCCCTTCATGCCCAAGAACCGCAAACTTTCCAAGCTGGAGATCATCCAGCATGTGATCGACTACATCTGCGACCTCCAAACGGAGCTGGAGACACATCCGGAGATGAACAACTTCGATGCGGCGGCTGCGCTGACCGCCGCCGCTAACATGCCAGATGACAGCGAGGAGGATGAGATGCAGCACATGGAGGACGGCGACGAGGCCGATGCCGATGATCTGCTCGCCCAGCGTCTGGCCGCCGAGCAGCAGCTGGCAAAAATCTCTAGTCCCGCAGCCCGTCTCCCCCTCAGCGATCGTCAGAGTCCCAACACGCTGTTGGCGCCAGGTCAGCCACAGCAGCAGCAGCTACAACAACAGCAGCAGCAACAACTCGCCAACAGTTTAGCAACGGTAAGTGTGGAAAGGAATGAAGGAGAAGAAGAATGTGAGAATGTGGGGCGAATGATTCGTTTGAGTGACCTCATTCATCAGGAAATTGTCAATTGTCATGGGTAGCGTGTCTGCATGTGTGTGTGTGTGTGTGTGTGTGTGTGTGTGTGTGTGTGTGTGTGTGTGGAAGGACAAGCCAACAAAATTTACATTTGCCCGAGCGACATTTCTTTAATGTTAATTCCAAGGCGAGGGAGCTTCCATATCCAAATTCCATGCACCGAGAGAAATAAATTGAAATATTTTCAAAGTCTGTACTGTGCTGTGAATGATTGACTTTTTTCCCGTGTAGGCAGTGTCGGTTTTTTTTTGCCCTCTCACTCTCTGTGTATTTCTGCGGCTGTTTTTGTGTCGCCATCCTCCGTTTCTTTCTTTTGTGTTGCCTATACGTAGCTGTTAATTTTTTTTCTTTCTCGCGGCCTTTTTTCCTCTGTTTGTTGTTTGTATGATGTGTTTTAAATGAACACCTGCAGATACTTAAATTTATTTCACATACTCATACATGTGCACAGACATTTCTATATACCCATGTGTGTGTACTCTGTCATACATATATGTACATACGCACAGGCCAGCTTGAAAACGGAATTTGAAATTGGGGGAATCATCTGTCTCTGTCTCTGTCTCCATCTCTGTCTGTGTGTCTCCACCTTGATATTACTGTTGTTGCTTTTTCTTACTTCATTAGCGCTCTTTTTTGGCCGTCTGCCTTTGTTTCGCTTCTTCGCTTTGTTGTTATTAATGATGCTGGCAAAAAATTTGTTCAAAACCTAAGAAACAGGTTGAATATACAACGATTTTTACTCTTTTTTTTTTTCAATGAAATTTTAACAAATGTTCGCCGATGCCTTTTGGGTGGGCCCCAAAAAGTTATTAACTTTTGATTAATTATCGAAGATCTCTCCCAAGGGGACCTTTGCGGAGGTCTCTCGCGCACTCCCTTTCTCTCATTCGAGTACATATTGAGTGCGTAATGCTGTTTATTGCTTGTTGCAAAAACATCTGCATCTTGCGGCGGGACGGGACCCAACCTAAACGCCCCACATACAAAGCGTTTGATGTGTCACCACATCCAACAAAAGCAACAACAGCAACGAAAATTCTTTCGAAAACACGCACACACACACACACACACACAGACATACTGAGACTCAAGAGAACTGTAAAAAGAAATGCACGTGTTCAAAATGTTCTCTCTCTGTGGGCTGCGGCTGCTGGCTGTTGTTGTTGCCGTTTCGTTTCGTTTCTTTTTTTGTACGTTTTCGCGCCGCGCAGCTGTGCGCCAGACGCCGCCATTCGGTCCGTCGCTTTCTACATTGTGCTGCCTGCCCTGCCCCTGCCGAACAGTGAACTCCCCGCGACTGATCCTGCCTTTGCCCTCGCGCCCAGTGCTGCGGTCAATCCAACAACAGTAAAGCAGTAACAAGGAGAACAGTAAAGGAGAATAGGAGGATAGAGAGAAGTCACACAAACAAGCATGTGTGACAGCTCGGTTGATGTTCTTGGCGCCTCTTCGGGTTCCTCCTCTTTGCACCCCCCACACATCCACAGATCAATTAATGATAAGAGAGAGAGAGAGAGAGAGGGAGTGAGAACAGGCAGAGGGTACAGTGGGTTGAATGTGAGAATGGAATGTTGAAATCGATGATTAGTGGAATGGGCAATGAATGTGTGTGATTGAGATGTATTATTATAGTTAACAAATTATTATTATATATAAATGATTGTAAATGAAAAACTAATTTGTGTGTTTTTTCCCTCCTCTCTGTGTCATTGCAGCAAGCGAACGAAGCGGAGAAAGACAGCAGGCAGTCGTAAGCAGCAGGCTGACTAAACAGCAGCCAGAGGGAGAAGAACCTATGGAACCTATAAACAATTATTAACTAAATGCATAATCAGTACCGATATATACCGAGTGTAATTAGAGCCACAGTGCAAGTACAGTCAACGCCACTCGCAGCAACCTTCGTGTGAAGAGATCTCCACATAAAATATATAACCAAGCACACGCATCTAAGAATAACGTAAATGTAAAACTCTCCAACAGCTGTCCAGCACTCGCTCTCCCACGCAGGGAACACACAACGATAGAGTGTGCGAGAGAGAGAGAAACAGAGAGAGGGCGAGGGCGAGGGCGAGTAGAGCGGCTCAGGCATTTCACACATGTAGCAGATAGAAAGTAAGAATGAAAGGAAGGAATATAACCACACACACACACAACACACACACACACACACACCTAGCATTAGGGCATTATAATTATAATTATTAATTAAACACTAACTATTAGCGGGAGAGGATGATAACGATGATGGAGACAAGAAGAAAGAAAGAAAGAAAAACTTGGCAAAGCTTTAAACAATTTAATTTTTCCCCCTTTTTTTAACCAAACCCTTGCTTAAAAATTGATTGAACAATTTTTTATGTTTTCCTAATTTTAGTTTTGTTTTGGTTTAAACTTTAAACAATACAAACAAAAACGAAAATGTTACTAATGCAAAGCAAACAAAACAAACACAGAGATCAGCAATACAATTAAATAATATTACACCTAAAGAAGCAAAAAAAAAAAAACTAAATAAATGAAATGCATTCAAATGGCAAAACAAAACGGGCATAAAATTTAATTCTAATTTTCAAGCAATGATTTTCCTATTAATTTTAAAACTAAAAAACAAGTGACATGAATGATTCTTCCTATTAATGTTTAGCTTCAACAACAACAACAACAACAACACCAACAAAGCCACTCAGCACACACAAACAAAGCATTCAGATTTCATTAATTTATATATCAAATTCGGTGTTTAAAAGCTTAAACACTAATTTCCACTCAAAACACAAGCAAACCTCATAAATACTTTTCAAACGATTTACTTCCTCCTTTTTGTTTTATCGACTTAACGAATAACTGCATTATAATAATTACTAAAAGCAAACACACCTATAAATATATATATATATACATAAATATATGTTCTGTGATCTGTAGCATACTTTGTACAAAGTGTTTTTTTAGCATAATTATGATTTACGATCCGTAAAGTCGAATGTCAGACTCTGATTTTTGTGTTCTCGTTTCGGCAAGCGCTCTATTGTCATAATCGAAAAAACCTCTGGATCAAATGAATGCGAAAAAAATATACATATATCTTTGAAAAATGAAGAAGAATGATTAAAAAGCGTAAAAGAAGAAAAACTACAATTTTTAGCTCTTAATAAATTGCAAAATGGAACAAATTATTACGTCTAGTTTGCGTTTTTCTGGTTTTCACTGGTTCTGCTTGGGGGTGGGTTCTGTGCAACTACCTGGGAAAACTCTCAGGGAAACACACACGTTTCCCAAGTGCAAACAAGTGCAACGAATTAGAAACAACACAATGGCTGTGGATGATAATGCCTCTGGGGGCAGACGAACGAGTTTTCTCACGCAAACTGTCAGCCAGCTGAGAGGTAGAGGCAGGTAGAGCTGACCCAAAAGGGCCAGTTGTTGCACGTGTGCGAATAACCGTTGGAGAAACGTCCAGACTTCTTTTCGGGCGACAGTTTTGACCGTTCGACTGGACCTATTCCGGCTGTGGATTTGGTTTGGGTTTTGCCCAGCAGCTGCATCCCACATCTCCCTCTCTCTCTCTCTCAGTTATCTGTGTGCCTATTAGCGTTAATGATTGCCGCTACAATGCAATGACCAATTGGCAATTGCAACTAGTCTCGTCTCGGGTTGCGGAGTCGCTCGGTGCCAGTCGCCCCATTCAAATGTCAATTCAGATTGGGCCCCTGGCTTAGGCGAAACAACAGCAGAGAAAAAATACACGAAAAACTAAATAGCTATGGTGGGACTTTGGGAGGTTTGATGGAGCCCTGGATGCTCTGTAAAAATTTGGGAGAAAGGTGTTTACTTTTAGGGAATTTTCAAAGAAATTTGTAAGCTAAAAAATGAGCAAAAATCAATGGAAATTATGCGAATTTTTGCTTATGACAAGAATTTTCTGAGGTTATTGAAGGTATTTTTTGGCTGCGAATTTTTAATTTTTTCTGAAGCTATTAAATTGTTTTCGAGGTAAATTTTTGAATAAATAAATAATTTTGTAAAGTTTTCGGGATGATTTTAAGACTGGAAATGGTTTCCTCTTCACATTACCATATTTATCCCTAAATTTTTGTTAATTTTCAGCTCGAGTTTTCACCAACTAAAGTACCCCCCTGGCCGGCAAGGGTGTTTCATACAAAATCTCAAATTAAAGCGAAAAGAAAAACTCGAGTGTGTGCGTTTCCCATGCATTGTCTACTGGGGGCCAACGATCCCCGCGACTTGGGGGACTACGGGGGACCAACAATGGAATGCGCTAATTGTTTGCAGAGCGCTCCCCAGATCGGGGTGGGGATACGTCCGGACGCGACATAGCCAATGGCCGGCCTGGCCCCCACGCGCAATTAGCGCGCGCACCTTGGTCCCGTCCCGTACCCAGAGCCGAGAGGAGAGTCGAGCCTCGCCCAGCCCCCCTGCGCGGTTTTCACTCAACTCTCGAGCACTTTGTTGCTGTTTTTTTGGGTGCGGACTGTCGCTGGAGAGACGAGAAATCAGTGAAACTTGAATTACCATAAAAACTCGTGTAGCAGTCAACAGCTGTGCGCGGGCAAGCAGCAAGCAGCAAGCAGCAAAACTCTGCGTTGCGAGAGACTTCCAATGGCCGTGCCGGAAAATTTTGACATAATAATTGTCAAGCTGACATTTCCAACAACGCAGCTGACAGCTGAGTCCCAGCCCGAAGTTGAAAACACGAACGAACCCGAATACGAAGTGCAATTCCTCACAGATGCCGCCACCAGTCTCCTATGCAAACACACTGAAAGAAATTAATGAAAGCAATTTGATGAAGGACTAAAGTACAAAAGTGCATGCGAAAATTCGAAATTTATTGTTAAATTTCAAGCCAGTTCTTTGGATGTTCTATCTCTCCAGATAGCGCCCTCTTTTGAGTGCCTTCACCTTTTTTTCTTACCGTGCTTTGTGCCTTAGTTTGTAGCTCTACGTGGAGTGTCCAAAATGAAAGCTAAAGCCACAAGCGAGCTGCTCGCTTGGCAGTGCTTGGTGAGGGGTGCGCATAAAAATCGCATTTAATTGTGATTTTCACACGAAATACAATGCGCATGAGCAACTGGCGCCGCTGGTTAGCTGCAGGGGGAGGGAGCTGGGGCAATGCGCTGCTGCAATACTTGCTGGCAATTTGTGTAACTAGCGGTAAAGCGTAACTACTAAACAGTCCGCAACAGCGGATCGGTCGGCGGGCGGCGGGTAGCATGTGGGGTGTGGGGCGCTGGTGCCATGGTGGTGGCTTGGTTTGGCTTTTGGGAAACACCTGCAAAACGCAAAACGCACCTGTTTCGCTAAACAGTCGGCAAGAGGCAACAGCAAAAGGCAATGGCAACAACAGCAACAAAACAACAAAACAACAAAACTAAAACAAAGTCAGAGACCAAAGCAACACCAATGCCAGGCAAAACAGCAACAGAAAAGCGGACACGGCCCAGCAACTTTCGTGGGTTTCCCGCCGCACAGCAGAGCAGAGCAGAGCAGAGAAGAGAGTGGGAGCGTAGAGTGGAGTGAGAGAGCGGAGTGGAGAGTAGAGTGAGAGAGTGGAGAGGTGAGCGAGCTTCCCATGGTGTACCGCATGACTTTTTTTGTGTAATTGTAGCAGCGCCAGCCTGGCAAAGGGGGGAGGTGGGTGCATAAGCATGGCTTTTGGGCGAGAGTGCCAGTGCCAGTGGCCCCATGCGAATTAGGAAATCGAAACCAAGTCGCAGTCGAAGTCAAAGTAAAGAGGGAAAGAGTAAAGAGGAAGTGGAAACCAGGTGAAGTCGGAGTGCACTGCAAGAAAAGAATACAAAAGTAGGAGAAGGGGGAGTAGCAGAAGCAGAGGTAAGAGAAGCACGAGTAGGAGAACGATTTAAAGCGCTTCCAAGCTCTCTGTCTCTGTCTCTCTCTCCTCTCTTTTCTCTTTACTACAGTGCTTGCTCTTACCCGTTACAGTTATATGCGTGCTTTGCTCTTCTGCTGCGGAGTAAATAATTTCAGCACATTCTTCCCCTATATTTTTCAGTGCACTCTAGCAAAAGTAGGAGGGGTGAGGAGCTTGACTCCCGTCAGGTGGTTAAATCGGAAGCGCAAAAGAAAGAAAAACCCGCGCTAGATAGTGAGTGGGGGCCATGCCATCAGCTGGCGGAAGTCACTCAGCAGCTGCCAGCCAGCAGACTGGACCCCGCACTCAGCATTGATTTCAGCTGCGTCACCGCGTCAACCGCCCATTGTGGCTTTTGCTCAGGGGAGTGTTGACCAAAAGGTGGCCCCATATGTTGGCCCAATGACAGCTCTGACTGGAAAAATCTCAGCAAACAGCCACAGCCACAGCCACAGCCACAGCTCCACCTTTGGGGCAAACAATGGCGATGACAATGGCCAAGTCGAGGTGCGGCTGCAGTTGCATTTTCAGTTGTTTGCTCCCGACATTTGATCGAAAGGCAATCGCTGCCGCAGAAGCCAATGGTTTGGGTCATAAGTTCCAGGCAGCCGCAGGCCACACTTCCAGTCGCTGGATGACGAGCTCCCTTCCATCAGTTGTGAGTGTCAAACTGTAAATTGAATAGAATTATGCATAATTCCTTATCGCGCAATTGAATTGTTTTTGGCGCTGACTAATGCCGCCACCCGTGTGGCAGCAGCAGCAGCTGCCCCAACCAAACAGATTTTTGGGTGGCCGAATGAGAAAATACACTAAAGCAAAGGTTTACTTGCAATTTAATGCCAAATAAAATGAGTATCAGCATCTGCGGCATAACCCACCAGTCGCCCATAATGCTGCTGCAACCGCAGAGCTTTTAAAGCTGCTCTCAAAGTGGCTGCCAAACCTCGGACCAGCTTGAACTTGCATTGAAAAATCATCAAACCCGCTGTTAGGGCATACGAAAACTGCACAAAGCTGACATTGATAAATACCATCCCACTGGCCACTGCATTTTCATTTCGTTTTGCTAATTGATTCATTGATCTTGGCGATATCTCTCCCCAGAGTGCGCC